AAAAAAAAAAAAAAAAAAAAAAAAGGCCGTCGTAAAGCGATGGACAAGCAAATATAAGGGGTTAACCTCATTAGTGCAGGGCGATGGGAACGGCTGATTCGCCGAAAACGGACGTACGCGGCGGCGAGAACAGATGGACAAGTGAAGCCTGCGCCGATCAGATGGATATAAACTGGCTATCTGGCAGAATCAAAAAAGACGGAGAGGCACGGCAGAGGGATAAATAAGCCAAAGATTATCAGACGGAGTGAATTTGTAAAAACAGGTTATTCGGCAGATACAAGAAATTTGAGGGGTGTGGAAAGTGCAAGAAAAGACAGCAGAGGTCAGAAAGGCAACCAGGGCACTGATAAAAGCGCACGGCGAGCAAGAGACTGCCACGGGCCAAAGAAAAGGCAGTAGCCCGGATTAAAACCCAGGAGAGAAGGAGGTCGAAAACAGCGAAGGGAGTTGAAGACAAAGAAAAGAGTTAACGAAACGAAGGATTTGAGGGAATAGAAGGGACTTGGAAAAACAGAGAAAGGAGAGAGGGTAAGAAACAAAGACAGGAGTCGAAAGAAACGCTTGGATGAAATGGCATCAGAACACTTGGATGGAACGGCATCAAAGGCGGCGCCTGAGGAGAGGGAGGAGGGGGAGAAGGGGGGGGGAAGAGGGGAGGGGGGGAGGGGGGTTCACTTTGGGAGAACCAACGGAGACCCCGATCAGACGCACAGTAGCGAGAGGAGGGGCAATGCTGGAAGCAGAGAACAGCAAGTCGGACCGAAAGGGACAGAAGAGATCCGAATTGGAAGGGATAAAACCTGAGAGAGACTTGACGACACTTTAAAGGCTAACGGAAGACGAGCCAGCGAATGAAGGTGAACTTCCAGTTCAGTAGGACCATAGCACAAGGAGAAAATAAGAGTCAGTAAACGGTTCATAAGCATCGGCGATTAGGCTAAGGAGAAAGAAACGCACACCTGACCTCCATCCAGCATGAACAACGCACGATAAAAACGTAGCGTGTGAGAAGCAGTGGACAACCTCAGGGTGTGTACATAGTGCATGAAGCAGTGTCTGATGATGTCTTATATCATGTCCTGTCAAGCAGTACATTTCCCCTCCCAGCACAAGCAGATGTTAGCGGAGTTCAATCCACGCCCAAGGGACACCGAATATAAGGTGCTTAATATAGGTAAATCCACCCCCCAGTGCCACACCCCTTGGGAGGGGCAAAACGTCTTAGACGGCAGAAAAACGAGTAATGTGATCTGAAAGAGAGACTTGCATAGGGAAGCGACAGAGGACAAGAGAGGAAAAAGCAGAAGCCAAGGTTGGCCGTCAATGGATGGGATACCGACGAGGCCACTGTCGCTGCGCAACAATCGATATAAAACCAGAACTGCTAACAGAAAAAAAATTATAATAAAATTAATTTAAAAAAACAGGATAAAAGTGCACGAACACAATCGGCATCAATGAGCCGACACTCGCAAAGTAAGAGAACAGCCAGCAGGGAGAGGGAGAAGGGAAGTGAAAGGCCGGGAGGCATCAGAGGGAGAGAAAGGGAATTAAAAGAAGAAACACGAGACCATAAAGAGAAAAACAGACTAAAAGGCTATGGCTAGATGTTCAAAAGAGTGAACAGGAGAGCACAGAATTCAGGAAAGATTATCAACGGAGAATGGCAGGATGAAAGCCATGGTAAAGAAAAGAGAGCGCGAGCCCGAAACAGCCCGGAGAACATAGAGCAGATGCCGCAGGAAAGGACGGTTACCGCAGAGCGGATATGGAAGATGAAGAGATTGGACAGGAACGAAAACATAAACGATTGATATGGTTGAGAAAAGACGTATGGGACTGAAACAATGAATGAGGGAAAGAGAGTAGAAGTGAGGGCGACGGTCGAAAAGGCAAACAGAGCGGGGAAAAGACAGCTAAGAACGTAAGAATGGGTGTGGGGAGAAGAGGTGGAGACGAAGGAAACATGGTGGCGGAAGGTGGGAAATAAGGCAGGGCCCGAGCTGTGCCACGAGAGAGCGATATTCATTCTAGTGGGGCTAGGAAGCGGAGAAACAGTATCGCCACAATGAGACCCATTAGCGATAAAAACCGCATTAAAAGCAGAAGCAAAAGGAAGACAGGCGGCAATCATAGGAAGGACAACAACGAAAAGGAGGGCAGCAGAGGGTTCTGACAAAAGAACAGCCGCGGAGGAAGGAAAGGAGCGGAGAGAGGAGGGAAGGATGAAAAGAAGGGAAAGCAACAAAGCAGAGCCGCAGGAAAGGAGAGAAGGGGCAATCAAGACGAATTGAAATCAACAAGAGAGGGAAGCAAACCGGAGAGCGGGGGAGCGGAGAGTAATGGGAGTGACAAGCAAGCGGAAGAAAAGACGAGAAAGGAATCAGGGGGACGGGAGAAGTGGGAGGAAGGCAGAGTAACCAACGACGGAAGAGGCGGGTATGAAAGAAGCAGGCAGGCCAAAAGATTTCAGAACGCAGAAGTCACACGGCAGCAAAAACAAACACTAGACTGCGCCTTTGGTCGGCAGTATAAGAGGCAAGCACAGAGGCAGCGCGCAGGGAGATGCAGGACTAGAGAAGATTCATCACGTTACCGGAGGTGTAAACAGAGGGTCGTCGATATCTGTGGAGAAGGGAGTAAAACGAAGGAGGAGATAACAAACTGTGGGGGAAGAACAATAAGGAGATAAAGAGGTGCAAGGAGAATCAAGTCCTCCGTCCGACCACTGACCTTGCATTGGAGCGTGTCTGCTGAGACTGGACTTGAGATGAGCTTCCTGGGGTTTGACCGGCGTTTTGAGTCTGAGAACCGTGAGGCTGCCCGGCTGCAGATCCCGACGGTTGCTGCTGCGATCCGGGCGGCTGCTCTCGCTGCTGCTGCTGTTGCGACGATGGCGGCTGTTGGGATCCCTGGGACACATGCCCTGTGTTGGGACCGCGAAGCTGATGTCCCTGTTGTTGCAGGGGGTGCCCTGTCTGTTGGAGATGTCCGGACGGCGGTTGTAGAGGATGACCTACCTGCTGCTGTAAAGGGGGGGGTGTTCTAGGGTGGTTCGGTAATCGTACTTGTGGCGGCAAGGGGCCCTGATAACCCCCTTGATGAAGTGGATGGGGTCCCCGCCCCTGGGGACCTGGCCTCGGCCCTCGATTATCCGTCAGCATCTCGCCACGCGTTATCGAAACTCAAAACAAACGAGACAGGGAATGAAAGGAGGATTGACGATCTCGAAAACAAAAAGCGAGAAACGATAACTAGGATGGCGACAACGGGGGAGGATTGAGAAGGGCGAGGAAGGATATAAAACTACCAACACTTCTTCAATGATGAGAAACAGAGGGGAGGTACGGAGAAAGAAAAAGGGAGAGATATCCCTTGGCTGTGTACTAGTCCCCAGAGCACTGCGCTGCACGAGCTCTAGGTATCTTTTGGTTGGTTCCCGCTGCTCGCCTGGTTCTTGTTGCTGCTGTTCGTCTCTTTTAGTGTTACCGCCACTCTCGCCTCAACCACCCGCGTTGCGATCACGCACACAGACGCACAAGGACCGGCCACACGACAAAAACGTGCATGGAGAAAACGTGCAAGGATTAAGGAAAGAGAGTGAGCAACCTACTTCTACTAGTGGCAATACTTACGATCGAGAATTGCACAACCTCCCACAATCCGGACCTTCTACACCCTTCAAGCATCCACACTCACATATACACACAAACAGCATACGCTGCTGCCGACGACGATCATGTCCCACGCTGTTACTCGACTGTCTCGGTCTGTCTGTATGTCTGTTTCACTGTGTCACTGTCTGTTCCCTCTCTCTCTCTCTCTCTCTCTCTCTCTCTCTCAAACAGACATATCCCCTTCGCACGCGCGCATCCACGCACGAAAACACACGGACACTCGTTCTCCAACGCGAACGTAACTAAACGTGCACACCTGCGCAATGTGACGATCTCTAGCAAAGTTATCACAGGGACCCTGCCCCTTCCACAGACACAACACTTCCGCTGCCACCTGACTGCTAACGTCGCCGTGATGTCGAGCGCACACGCATATAGACACGCAGACGCGCCGTATGCTGACAACTAGAACGATAATCTCTGCCAAGTCGTGCCCTACGCAACGCTCCACTGGTTCATTTAGCAGACCATCACCCACATCGATTAGTAGATGATAAGTTGCTCTAAAAGTAGCTTTACAAGTGCACCCCTCTCTCTCTCTCTCTCTCTCTCTCTCTCTCTCTCTCTCTCTCTCTCTCTCTCTCTATTTCACCAATCAACTTGAACGAAAAGGTTTAGAGCTGTCGCTGATGTCTTCCAGTGAATGTATAGAATTCATGAGGTGATGTTTGTTACTACTTGGTTAGCCAGCCGCCGGTTTGTTGCCTGCCCACTCGAAGATACATGTGGAGCGCTTACGACTCGACCACCGAATCTCGCCCAAGAAGAGAAAAAAGGAGAACTCCAGCGTGAACCTGATAAATGGCGAACTGCTGTCTCTTTTCACTGCCACGAAGTGGAACCACTGATTCAGAGAGAAAAAAATGGCAGGCGGATACACAAAGCACGATGCACGAGCACGAGCGGGCAAATAGAACGATTACTCTGACGATGAAAAAGACGACCAGAGAAGAGGATTTCCACTTCACCACTTCGTAGAGGCCCACATCCACCCACGATGGCGTCCTTGCAAAATTCCCTCGATGCCACCCACGATGGCGTCCTGGCAAAATTCCCTCGATGATGACGAGATGGCGACTGCGAGCAAGCGAATCCCACTTGGCAAAGGATATAGTAACCGTACAAGTAGAGGACAACCCAGACACAATCTCCTTCCTTCTCTCCTTGAATGCTTTCGATCGAGTTTGACGTCGCTGTAGCGGACTCTTCGTTTCTTGATTAACCTAGGGGGATGACCACAGCCTCGTAAAGGAACAAACCACACACATCGCGCTACGCCTTCTTCTTCTCCTTCCTAGCAGGCCCATCTGACCCTGCGCTCGAGACGATTCAAACAACCAAACCATGCCAGCATCGCCCGGAGAAAAAGCAGATTGCCCGGCAGGGATAGAGAGGAGGGAGAGGAGAGAAAAATGTGATGCTAGCAAGCCATCATCTACACAAGGTGGCTATTGATCGTAGCAAAAACGCTTACAAAGAACGACAATAGGGATCGCGGACGATGAGAAGAACAGCACGTGCACAGACCAACATCGCTGTCCAAATACGCGGTAGAGGACTGCTGATATCAACAGAACACATCAGCTTTTCCGACAACACTTGAAAGAAATCGTGCGTTCGCTAAGACTCTCATCAGGAAGACATCACTACCAGAGCGCGCCGACATCGAACCTCCAATTTCTCGAGCCCCCTATGGCTGTTTCGCCCGCGCGCGCGCGGGTGGTCCTCCCTTAGGGCCCCCCAGCCACCGCTTCCTCTCTGGTATCGCTACCGGTCTTGATCTCGACCGCCCTCTCTACATGGTACGCAAGCAATCACACTCTGACAAAATTTAGGGCACAAGATTGGATGCGCGCGCAGCACCCACAAAACAGAGGATGCATGCTGCTAATACTTTCACTACACTGCAGCCGTCCGAGCTCGAGCTGTAGGCGTTGATGCTATCACAGAACAGAGTCTCGTACCTGCAGAGTGCGGAGGCGCGGAGGACGGACTGGAGGCGCCCCTCCCGCGAGTAACGACGACGATCTAGTTCCTACAGCGTTGCCTCGCCGCCAGTTTTTCTACATACATATGTAGATACATACATATGTACGTAAAATGCTTATGTACTTTGCGACATATAAGTGATAATATCTTTTTTTTACTTTTTTTTTCCCCTCACAAAGTATGATATTTTTCCAACAAAACTTGGGACGGGGATTCGTTTTCGTTCGTATGTTCCTTCTCCAGAAACCTCGCTTTTCCCTTCAAGCACAACCCCTCTCGAGTCGACGTGTGCCCACAAAACAGGCGGAATTCACTTCATCGATTGCTGACTTGCACCCTGTCAATTTTCCTTTTCCTCCCCCTTATGGCTTTCGCCCTGGGGTGGTTCCGCGGTCCGGTTCGAGTCCGCTTTCAATTCTGAACGGACAGGCTCGGAAACTGCCGAAAGCATGGGCCAGTTCTTTTTCAGTTCAGTTGGTCCTCGTCGTCCCTACCCATCAACCATTCTGATCTCATCTCGCTATTCCGAGATGTCCCGAACCGTAGACCATCACGCTTATCACGCTTGTGGGACAGATACCTTCCCCTTTATTCTGCAAGGAAATAGACATTCATCGTGGAACACATTGGAATAAAATAAATGGTGTCGGAAATTCGACAGGCTACAGCGTCAATTTAGACCGCGAAGATTGGGAGATCGCAACCGAAGCACTTGGAAATGGGAGAGCCCTGGGTCGCCACTGTCAAGAATACGGATAAGGACTCAATTAGCCCGGTTCAAGGGAATGTGGCCCGTGTTAGCAGGGTGTCAAAAAGATTTGGCCTGATTTGTACGGTTGGATTCCTGAACTCGAGTTAGCCAGGTAGGTTACCTGAAGCCCGGCATGGACAAATCCCAGCCTTTGACCTCTCTTTTGGCCTAATGCGTTATACAGCCCCGCAGGGTTTTCCAACATTCGGTCTACCATCCCTCCGTAGTGCAAACGGTGTGCATTTTCAGGGAGGGAAGGGATGCACTGAGAAGTTGTTGGGCAGAGGACCGGTCAAAGTGCATTAAACCGCCGGTATATGCCATAGATCGGTCGCGGGCCCCTTCCAGTGATGCCGGCCACCAATGGTTTTTGCAAGTGTCAGAAAATGAATTGTGATTTGAAAATTGTGTATGCCTTGCGAAAAACATCTGACATATAATCCCTATACTACTAAAGGAAACAGCGGTTCTCGCATGGGGCCCACCAGAAACCGGGTGCCTCCGCCCAGGACCGGTAACGGCCAGCGGCCAAGGGCGAGCCGGCGGCACTCAGGGCGAGGGCCGGAGAAATACCGGCGCAAACTGGCAACAGCCGCGACGAGTAAGGGAAAAAAAGGCCGTGGGGACAGCCCCGACGAGTACGAGGGCCGGCTAGCCCAAGAAAGGCTGTGGAACACGGGGTGAGGGCCGGAGAAATGTCGGTGCGCGGGGCTGAAGCGACGTGACTGGCAGGGCGGAGCGGGAAATGGCATGGCATGAATTGTTTACCGGTGAGGTGACGGGCGGGGCAGCGTCCTTTCGTGCGGGAGGGGGGGGAGGAAGGGAAGGAAGGAGGGCGGGAGGAATACCTGTCTCTTATACACATCTAGATGTGTATAAGAGACAGGAAGCGGGAGGGGGGGAAGGCGGAGAGGGCGAGTACGGAGAGAAACAACAATAGGGGGGCGGCCACCTAGAGGACGGCAGCAGCACAGGGGCACAGGCAGCAAAAGGGGGCCCGTAGTGGAGAACGGACTACGGGAGGGAGGGGGACGCCGAGGGGCAAGCGAGCAACAGTGGCACGTGCGTTGAGGCACCATAGAGGAGGAGACCAACAGCAGCGAAGGGAGTACTGACAGAAAGGAACATTGTCAGATCAGTGGCAGAGGGTAACAGCAGCAGAGAGGTAGCGGAAGGGGGCACCAACAGAGAGGGGGACAAGCAGAGAGAGCGGGGAGCGCAAGCAGAGAGAGCGGGGAGCGACAGAATCTGGGAGTACATGCGGGGATGACTGTAGAGTTCAAACCCAAGGTTTACTCAAAGAGAATGAGCCACAACCATGTTTTAGATATATGCACTTTCCACAAAAAAAAAAAAAAAAAAAAAACAAACTTTAGGATAAATGCTATTCGAAGACGATTGACGGGAGCAGAGACGAGAAGCAGAGTGGGGAGCAGCATTGCAGAGAGGGGGCGGCAGGGCAGTTGAATGAAGTTCATTCGACAGTCAGAGCAACGACTGCAGGGCGGCCCGGAGGAAAGCAGAATGCCAGCCACAGCGCGGTTTGCAGGGCAGCATCAGCTGACCAGATAGGGAGGAACTCCGGAGGAAGTCCGGGCAAGGGCAGTGCAGGATTGGAGTAGCACGTGCACAGAGGGAGGGAAAGGGAGAGGAGATTGGGGAGGAGCACATCCACAACCTCAGAGCAGAGCAAAGAGGCGCAGCTTTTGAACAGACCAAGGACAAGAAGAACCGTGAAAGGATGACGGGAACAAGCCAGAAGAGGCAGGATGAAGCACAGGTGGCCATGGTTAAAGGAGAGGGCCAGCAGAAACACAGAAAAAATGAACAGCGTAATGCAGACTGGGGAGGATAAATGTTGGGAGAATCAACCGAGAAATCGGAAGGAAGATCAGGGTAAAGACAACAGGAAATTGGCGTCAGCTGCGCGCGGCGAAGAGGAAGGGACTGCAAGAGGGGGTATACACGATGAAAGGTGCGCGAGGCGACAGCCGCTGAACAGCCGCGACGTGCACACGGAGAACGGGCAGATTTAAGAAGAGAACGAACGGTTAAAAAAAGAGACAGAGGAGCAGGACATGTGGGAAGGAGAGGACGGGGTAACAACGGAAGAGATGGCCACAAAGAAGAGGGGCAAGGGCGGTTATACAAACACAACGCTCAATAATGACACGCCAAGCGGAGCGCGATAGGGAGGTGGGCGGGACGAGAGAGGCTGGAGGACGGACGGGAGAGAGGTATACAGCCGAAGAGACGGAAATACCTCCAAGAGACCCCCCGTCGGCCGCCTCCCTCTTCCCTCCCCGCGGGACTAGCCTCCGCACGCCCTCCCCCCTCCCTGCGGTCTTCTCCCTCCCCTGCTTGCGTCCCTCTGCCCCCATCCTGCGGCCCGCTTCCCCCTTTTCCATCGACTTTTTTTCTCCCCTCTCCGCGGCCCTCTTCCCACCGCGCTGCCCTCGTCCCTCCCCGCTGTCCTCTCCTCTCCCCGCGACCCTTTCGCCCTGCATTCTTCTTCTCTCTCCTCGGGGCACTGTCTATCTTCTCTGCCGCCTCCCTCCCTCCCCTTCCATCCCGCTTTCACTCCGGCCATGGAGAGGGAGAGCACCGCACGGAGGGGAGACGGCGTACGGAGGCCAGCCCCACGGGGATGAGAAAGTAGGCGGCTGACGGGAGGGAGACGGCCGACGGGGCACAGGAGGCGGCCGACGGGGGACGGGGCGCCCGACGGCAGAGGGAAGGGGGGGAGAGGGAGGCGGCTGAAGGGAGAGAGAGGGAGACGGCCGGAGGGAGAGGGCGAGGATGAGAGAGTAGGCGGCTGACGGGAGGGAGACGGCCGACGGGGGACAGGAGGCGGCCGACGGGGGACGGGGCGCCCGACGGCAGAGGGAAGCGGGGGAGAGGGAGGCGGCTGCAGGGAGAGGGAGAGGGAGGCGACTGACGGGAGGGAATCAACCGACGTGAGAAGCAGGCAGCCGACCGAGAGAGGGAGGCGGAATGGGCGAGAGGAGAGGGCGACGATGGCCAGGGGAGAGAAAGACGGCGGCAACGCTAGACGAATGATCCGCCAAAGAGGCATATGACTGACCGAGAAAGAGATCGCCCAATGAGAGAGATCGCCGGACGGTGGGCACCAAAAACAAATAACGAGAGAATGGCCCTCGAAGAGTGTCGGAGAGGCTAATTGCGGTATGGGCTGGGGTATTTCAAGGTCATTCGCCGGTCGCTCATCTCGACCATCCTTTCATTCACGGAATTGATCTCAATTGAATTTCTGTTCTAAAGAGTAGAAAATGGTTGTGAAAAGAAAATACCCATCTTATGGACAGGTGAGAGCGAAGGCAAAGACTACATAAGGAAATAAGATCGTCCGCGGTAGACGTAGACAAGGGATGAACGATATTGGGTTTAAAGATGACAGTGGGATATGAATACAGCGGTACG